ACAGACAAAGACTGCTTCACTTCAGCAGTTCAGCAACAGGGGTCCCAGTGGGAAGCTGGGACACTCTGCAGTCAGGGGCGAGGGAAGGCACCGCGGAGGCAGTGCTGGGGGGAACCAGGTTTTAAGCCGGTTCCTCCCAGTACCAGCTCCTGTTTCCCCCCACCCTAGCTGCCTCTGATACAGGGCCGGGGGAGCAACTAGTTGAGTAGATCAGCAATTCCCAACTAAGGATGTTAAATATAGGGTAATTGACTAATTGAATAGTCGATGCATTTTTGCATCAGCTATTCAATTAGTCGATAGGGTGCTTCCGCCTTTGAGGTGTAGCAATCCTAGGGCTGTTGCTATTCTTCAAAGGCGAAAGCACCGAAGCCCAGTCAGGGTATGTCTACACTACCCTCCTAATTCGAAATAGGAGGGTAATGTAGGCATACCGCAATTGCAAATGAAGCCCGGGATTTGAATTTCCCGGGCTTCATTTGCATAAAGCCGGCCGGCGCCATTTTTAAATGCCGGCAGTTCGAACCCCGTGCCGCGCGGCTACACGCGGCACGGAGTAGCTAGTTCGGATTAGGCTTCTAATCCGAACTAGCTGTACTCCTCGTGGAATGAGGAGTACAGCTAGTTCAGATTAGGAAGCCTCAGAACCCAGTCACTGAAAATGAAGCTAGATAGTGTCCCTGCTGGAGAATGCTACTATTTCGCTGATTTTCTGGGCCAGATCTTGGTCCTAGCAAACTCAAAGGAAATTTCACCCTGTGCTGGCTGCAGGAAAACTGCTCATTTCAGAGCATGACAGAGCAGGGGCTTTCAAAGCAGTAGGGCTGTTGCTACACTTCAAAGGTGAAATACTGCATGGAGCCCAGGGTCAGCTGGGGACTTCCCCACTGACCCCGGGCTCCATGCCATGCTGCCGCTTTGAAACACCACGGGGAGCCTGGCAGCCAGCTCCCCATAGCATTTCAAAACAACAGTGCTGCATGGAGCCCGGAGTCAGTGGGGGAGTTCACATCTGATCCCGGGCTCCACACTGCTCTGCTGCTTTGAAATGCCACATGCAGCCTCGGGATGCCCCCACTGGCCCCAGTCTTCCTGCGGCATTTCAAAGTGACAGCGCGATGTGGAGCCCAGGGTCTGGCCCCAGGCTCCAAGCAGCACTGCCACTTTGAAGTATCCTTCCTCTCCCCACCTTGCTGCCTCTTTCTGATAGCAAGGGGGGAGGAGGGAAGCGACTAGTCGACTAGCCTGTCGACTATCTGATAAGCAATTGCTGGTCTGCAGCAGCAGCTGGGGATTTTGCCCACCAGCAACGCTGGGGCTGAGACAGCGACAGAACAAAAGGAGCCTCCTTTCCTCGTCCCACGCAGGTAAGATGGAGGACTGGCTGCGACTCCATGCTCTCCCCCGCCCCCCGCCACCTTTACTCATGGGGGCGGGAGGGAGGGGGGGGTCAAAGGAGGAGGGACCCCCCCTCCAGCCACTCCCCCTGCCCGCATGGCCAATTTTGTCCAGTGGTAGCGTTGGGCTGAGGTGGCACCAGGAGGCACCTCCCTCCCCCTCTCTCCAAGTTAGATGGTGACACATCCGGGGCTCTACACTCCTCCACCCCCGGTCTCTACTGCAGAGGGACATGGTCACAAACACGGAAGTGACTGAGGAGTGTAAGTCATTGAGAGTCAGTAGGTCGGAGGCTCCTAAGTGCCTCAGTCACTTGTGAAAATTTTACCGTAAGTGACTTGCCAAAGGATATGCAGGAAGTTTGTGGCAAGACAGGGAATCCAGCTCCATAGGAAACCTTTGCTGCCTGGAAGGGGCGTTAAATATGCTTGGAGAGGTAGGGGGCGCAAAGGAAGAGGGAGTCATGCACTGCCAACAGCCACTTCCCCGACTGTGTGGCAGCAACAGCCTTGTTTCTTAAAGGCAGCCTTGCTCCAGGGAGTGCGGGGGATGGGATGGGGTCAAAAACATGTTGGGTGAGGGCATGGTAAGGTCACGGGGCAGGAGGATGTTGGCATGGGCTTGCAGCTATCTACGTTGCCCAATGCACCTCTATGAGAAGCACAGCAGTGTCACAGATGCAGTGGTCCCTGTTCCAAAGGGTTAATAATCAAAAGAGATAGATGATGTTGGAAAAGTGGAAGGAGGGGTACAATCAGTGTTCCAAAGAGGGATGTAATTCATGCTTATATTCGACACTTTACGCCTTGGTCTAAACAAAGACATTAATTATCTTACCCATTACAAAGATAGCTTCCCCAATTATCACCTCTAATATCATTAGCTCACAGACATTTACCTCCTCCCCTCATCCCCCTTCTGTTCTGGAATGTGATTTGTCCTTTTCATATGTGTTCATTTTTTTGATTGTATCCTTTGGTATATATGGTTGTGACAATTTTCTTCCACTATCTGATCTGAGGAAATGGGTCTGGCTCATGAAAGCTCATCACCTAATGAACCATCTTGCTAGTCTTTAAAGTGCTACATAATCCTGTTTTTTATGTCAACTAATCTCTGATGTGTAGACTAGGCCTGACTTTTTGTTTCTTTCCAACTTCTCTCAGATTGGCCACCATCTGTTTCCTGATAAGTTCCTCCCTAATTCTAAACAGCTCCAGTTTCTTAGAGGATCCTATCAATAGTTTGGTATGGAATTTATTCTATTCTAAATGTAAGGACTGTTTTGCACTTCTATTGTTTAGGATTGCTTCTTTTCGGCTTGTGAAAATGGCCAAACCAGAGCACAATGCCAAACATGCTAAGGCCTGTACCTTTCCACAATCTCCCCATGCCTTTTCAGTAAAATAATGCCTCAACTTATCATAGCCCTGCACCAGCAATGAATAATCTATTATCTTTGATTCAATCTAGGGAAGATCAAAGAGTTGGGATAAAGAAATCTGGTTTCCTAGACAGTGAACCTCAGTTTGCTTAAAGCAGAGGCGGGCAAAGTCCAGCCTGCCAAATTGCTGGATCTGGCTTGCAGCCCAGTATGAGCCTCAGGCAGACTCCCTGCCTGCTCCATCCCTGCACACCGCTCTCAGTGGCTGGACGTGGGAGCCACATCCTCTTTGCATACCACTGGGAGAGGGGCTTTGTGCACTGCCTATGTCCCCAAATCAATACTCCAGCTCCCGCTGGCCAGTTTCCAGCCAATGGCAGCTGCCTGGGCTGTGCTTACAACAGGCAGCGTATGGCAAGTCTCTCCAAAAGGGCACCCAGCATGCAGAGAACACGTGGCCCCTGCACCAGGTCACAAACCCCACCCAGAACATGCATCCGCAGCGAGCCCCGCTTGCCAGCCACGCTGTCCAGTGATCTGCACATGCGCAGCTCGCCCGAACCCGGCTCTTCCGGGTTACAATCAACTCACCCCAGGGGAGTAGACTGTATTATTTGTCGAGCCCTGCCAATAGGCATGTTAACGTCTATCTGTTTACACCATTAACTGATACGCCTGGGCTTATCAGTCAATATATACACACACACACACACACACACACACAAAACGCCTTTATATCAGAGGCACCAAGGGTGAGGGGAAGATGGGAGCCAGTGAGGAGCAAGCTTTTAAGCTCCCATAGAACAGAGGGAGTTGGGGGGTAGCTGGGGCCAGTGGGCACCAGCTTTCAAGCCAGCCCCCCTGCACATTCTGGTTCCTACAGAGCTGCCTGCCCCCAAATTGCTGCCTCGCTATCAGAGGTAGCAGTGGGGGAGCAGGTGGGAGCTAGTGCTTATAAGCCAGCTCTTCTCAAGCACCAGCTCCAGCTTGCCCTCCACCCCACATGTAGGGAGTTGGGGGGTAGCTGGGGCCAGTGGGCACCAGCTTTCAAGCCAGCCCCCCTGCACATTCTGGTTCCTACAGAGCTGCCTGCCCCCAAATTGCTGCCTCGCTATCAGAGG